CACCTCCCTCCAAGGCCTGGGGCAAGGATTGGGGCGGCCCAAGGAAAAAGTGTCTGGAGGCAACTCCGGGAGCCCGGCCAGGAGCCCTGGGCTAGTGTCTGCCCACCCACCGGCCGGCCACCCTGTCCACTGCAGCCTGGACCCCAGTGGCCCTGGGCCTCAGCCTGCCAGCCGCCACTGCACCACCAGTACCGTGTCACCGCCGCCTGCAGGGCCTTAACTTGCCAAACACAGACCAAAACCATGAGCAGATTTTGAGAGACCCTCCAAGCCGGGCAGGTATGGAGTGCCTCCTCCCAGTTGAAACCGTCAGCTAAGAGTTGAAAGCAGCAGGTGTCAGGGCACCGCCGGGGGACTTTGCTGTGAAGCCTGCTCCCCCCACCACCCCACACTCCTCACCAGCCACTCTGCTTAGGCTGGTCTTTCCCACCCTCGCCTTCCATCTCCAGCCACGCAGTCCACAGTCCCAGGGTGGCTGTGGCCTCTGTGAGCCTGCACGGGGGCCTCCAGAGGGACTGGCTTTGACTTTCCAGCCTGAGACTGGTTGAACCAATTTGGGTTTTGCTTTTTTTTCTCTCTTTGTCTCTCTCTCTCTCTCTCTCTCTCTCTCTCATGTTCTCTCCTGGGTTTTTATCTTCCTCTCTGTTTTAATCTGTTTTGCTGGCTTTCATCTTGGGGTTCTCCTGGCCCCTCTATTGAGAAACCAGCCCCAATAAGCAACTCAGCCAGAACTGCCCCATGGCCCAGCCAACCCACCCAATCTCCAGCCGCACCAAGGCCACAGCAAGATCACCCCCCCGACGCTGTCCCCCAGGTGTCTGCTTCCAACTCTGGATTAATTCGAGGACCTCTTAGTCCTCGGTTAATGTTTCCCAAATGAATGCGTGTACCCTCCCACCCCTGCTGGCGAAACTGAATGAGACCTGGTGGAGAAATCTGCATGCCTGCGGCCCCGTGTGGACATGTGGATGGTGGCGCGGCCCTGCCTCTGCGTGCATGGTGCATGTCCTCTCCGTGGGCTGGAGTCCCTCCAGTGACCTTGCTACCCCATCCTGGGTCAGCCCTCTTCGGGGAGGGGCAGTGTTCCCTACCCTGCCGCCCTGCTCCGCCCCACCTGCCTGTATGTGGAATGCAGCAGGGCCACGTCCTTGTCCTTGTGGGTCCTCACATCTCCATCCCTGGTGGCGTGTCCAGCCGCGCTGGTGGACTTTCCCTTTGCTTGTCCCGCTGTGTCACTGGCCGCGGTGAGTCAGGGCCCTGGTCACCCCCAGCCCTCACTCGCCTCTCCGCTCTGTTGCAGAACCGCATGCACGAATCCCTGAAGCTCTTCGACAGTATCTGCAACAACAAGTGGTTCACAGACACGTCCATCATCCTCTTTCTTAACAAGAAGGACATCTTTGAAGAAAAGATCAAGAAGTCCCCACTAACCATCTGCTTTCCTGAGTACACAGGTAGAGACCGCCGCTCCTCACAGGGGCCACACTGGCTTCTGAGGGGGCTCCGTCTCCCCTTCCCGTGCTCTACAAACGCATGGGATTCTACTGCGGAGAATCCAACACAAAACCGAAGGCGGGGAGGGGGTCCACCCCCAGAATGTGCTGTGCTGAGGGGGCTAGGGCAGCCAGCGTGGGCTGTCTGGTCAGGAGAGGCAGGGCTGGACTCCTAGCTCTGCCACTAACAGGCTGTGTGATCTCGGCAGCCTCTCGGACCCCCAGCTCGGTCACCTGTAAATAGAGATTATCAGTATGGTGGCAACACCCAATGATGAGGGGGCTAAGAGAGCAGGGGCTCCGAGTTTGGTAGCCCAAGTTCATGCCCCCCATGTCTGCCACTCACAGGTGGTTATGTAACCTCTCAGAGCCTCAGTTTCCACATCTGTGAGATGGGGATGTCACTGTGATTATCCAGCCCTCCCTCCCAGAGCTCCCAGGAGGACAGAGTGAGCTAAGGAACAGGGGTTTTAGCATGGCAGCTGGTGCATAGTAAGTGCTCACTAAACAGTAGCTGTTACACTTACAACTGATTATACAAGTGATTATAACTGAAAAATATCATGACAGCACCTCCCACACGGGTAGTTACAAGAGTCAAATGGCCTGTTGGATGTGAGAGAGCTTCGCAAGCAGCAGAGACCAGGGCCTCCCTGTGGAGGGTATTGAGCATGATGGAGACCGCCCCATTAGTGTTACCATGGGTTTACCTGCCTGACAGGGGCCCCCACACAGCAGCAGCATGGCTGGAATTGCCCAAGTGCCTGGTCAGAGAGGCGAGTGAAGGCAGAGGTGGGCACCCCCGGCCGCACCAGCCCCACCTGGAGAGCACAGGGGCAGGTGGGCCTGCCAGGGGATCCGCCAGGCTGAGCCCCACATCCCCAGGAGTGGACTTGGGGCCTGTCCTTGGAGCCAGACAAGTGGCAAAGCTCACTCTGTCTCCCCCCACCACCAGATCAGGCTGACTGCTCATGGGCCAGGCCCCCAGCAGCATGGAGCCAGAGGTAGGGCGGGCTCTGCATCCCCCATGCCTGCCAGTCAGCCTCCTCTTAGTCACATGTAAGTTGAGGGTCTATGGATCCCACCCTGGGTGACCTGGGCTATGGCCCCTGGGGCGGCCGAATCAGACAGGGTGAGTCACCAAGGCTGATTTGGTGCTGACGAGGCCCCAGGAACAGTCTCTTTCAACTCCAGTGCAGATGTAGGAAAGAGCTAAATCCTGGTGGTCTGGTAGACCCTGCTGGCCTGTGCCACATGCCGGGGTGGGCTGGGTTGCCCCTGCAGGCATGCCACTCCCTGGCCTCCAGTCTGCACAACAGCCACCCTGCTTAGCCCTGTGGCTCCACAGTGTAGCCCCTCCCATCCTCCCTCAGCGGTTGTGGCAGCCAGGAGTCCCGTTGTGTTCCTCCCCAAACAGCGGCTGCTCTCCTGGAAACCCCTCTCCCTGGGCTCCCCCAGGTACAGAGCTGTATGGCAGTCAAGAAGGTATGTAGGGGGCGAGCCAGACAGTTCTGAGTCCCCGATGGTGAACACAAGAAGGAGGAGGAGGGAAGGGGGGCGGGGTGGGGGGGCAGTGAGAGGAAGGTGGAAGGCAGCCAAGGCAGCTCTCAGGTGCCACACAGTGTCCACCCACCTTGCCCAGCGGTGGCCTGGGAGGCAGGTGTCTCTGCCTCTCTGCGGAGTCATAGCCGGGAGAGGACAGCCATGCATCGTCAGCCAGGGGCTGGCGCCGACTTCTGAACCTGTGTGAGGGCTGGTTCAGACTTCTTTGGGCAGGACCCACAGGAAGAAAGAACATTGCATTGGGAGCCCATAGTTGCACATATAAAATGAAACAGGAGTTTCGCAAAGCAGTACCACCCTTAATGCAGGAGGCCCGGTGAGGCTGGGTCTCGTTTCCTTCATTGTGTTGGAACTGCAGGTGCACCACTGACTTGATTTCATGACCTGCTATTGACTGAGCTGAGCTGTCAAGCTCCCTGCCTCCCTCCACCCCATTAGGTGTCTCCTGCAGGGTTGTCACTGAGAGGCCCTCAGTGTCTGCTCCCCGGCCTGTGGCCCAACAGACACCTTGGCGGAGGCCTCACCTCACCAGCTCCGCACTTGGTCTCTCCCACAGGCCCCAGTGCCTTCACAGAAGCCGTGGCTTATATCCAGGCCCAGTACGAGAGCAAGAACAAGTCAGCCCACAAGGAGATCTACACCCACGTCACCTGTGCCACCGACACCAACAACATCCAGTTTGTCTTTGACGCCGTGACGGACGTCATCATCGCCAAAAACCTTCGGGGCTGTGGCCTCTACTGAGCCTTGGCCTCGCCGCCCAGCCGCCCACCGCCCTCCCCAGCCTGCTGCCCCTCGCCCCCCGGCCCTGGAACCAGAGCTCCACCACTTCCTGGACCACTTTCTGCACTTGACAAAGAAGCACCAGCGTCCGGCACTGAGAGGGGAGGAGGAAGCACCCTCACGGCTGCCCCAGCCCCAGACATCAGAACACGTGGTAACGGGGCTGGCGGGGAGCCAAGTGCCCGCGCCACGCCTAGTCGGGCGGCTCATGTCTGCGCGCCGTTCACTGACCTCTGCTTCATCTCTGAGTGTTTTCCCCACCGGGGAGAGGGGTGTAGGGCCCAAGGCCGCCATTGAGCCCAGAACGGGCTTGCCCAACACTTAGTGACTTGTACTCAGAGTCCCAGGGTCTTCTCCTGTCTTTTGAGATTGTGCAGGTGGTGGGGGTGGCCCTGGGACAAGGTGCTGGCAGGGGTGGGGCAGTGGGAGCCACTGTTCGGCTCTTCTGGGGGTCTCTCTGGTCGAGGGCAGCTCCGTCACCAAAAGCCAGGGTGGGGCCAGGCCAGCTATGTGTGGGTCTGGGGGCTCTGTCCTTGGCAAGTGCCTCCTTCCTCCTCCCCTAGGATCTCGGCCCCTTGACACAAGCCCTTCCTTCTCTGGGCCTTCTTTCCTTCATACCCTTGGGGCTCCCCAGTGCCCTCCTGGGGAACCTCCATCCCTGACTCCTCATAGGTCTGGAAATGTTTCTAAGACTGACTTCTGGCAAAAGCATGTGGCAGATGGTAGGAGGGGTCGAGTCCTGTGGTGCCTGGACAGAGGTGGAGGAGGTAGAAGGCGGTGGGGGGTGCGGACAGGAGATGGAGGGGAAGTGGCTCTTGTGTTGACTAGGATGGGGGCCTTGTGCCCAGTCTTTGCAGGCCCAAGGGTGACAGTCTACTTCTCCCATCACCCAGGTCCCAGGTGGCCACTCAGGAGTGTGAGATGTGCTTTTCCTTCTTGAGTTCACAGTGAATCCAGTGCAGACCAGCAGGGACAGGCAGGAAGCCTTTGGACTGCAGGTTCTATAGTCAGGGAGGCCCAGGGGAGGTGTGGACACCGCCCCTGTAGCCAATGTCCCAGCTTCCTTCTGTCTTGGTGAAGAAATCATAGTTTATCCATAGCCCTTGGGGTCCTGCCAGTCCCCGGGGGCAGAGGAGGGCAGATGGATGGGCCCAGCTCCCTGGAGTGTATGCTGTGAGGGGCACAGGCTCAAACACCTACTCAGCCCCTCCTCTGGACAGAGTCGTCAGACCCCTTAGAGGGGCTTTGCTGCGGCAATCCCTGATTAGAAAGGGGTTGGGTAACTCCTCCTGGTGCCCAGGCCCTGACTGGCCTCGGGCAATGAACATACCTCTTTCTCACCCCTCGGCGCATCCAGTTGGCTGAGGCCACCAGCCAATAGCCCAGGCAGACCCTGTATGCTTGGATGGCAGGCTTTGCCTGGGTTGCCAGATGTGCCCACGGGAGGAGAGGAGCTGCCCCTTGAGAGGCCTCTGGCTCCCTCCTCACACCCTCTGCTCCTCCAACCTCCACTCTGGGCTCTGTTCCGTCCTGGACCAGGCAGGAACCCTGGACTCCCAGCACAGCCCCTGACAGCCCCACGGCCAAAGGAGCCCAGGCCAACAGCTCGGGCTTCTTGTTTCTAACAGACACAGAGCTCTGGGTGCTTGGGAGACCCAGGGCACGTTCCCTAGTGCCAAATGCCTGCAAGGATGGGCACCCCTGGGGCGAGTCCGATCCCCCACCTGGCTCGCTTGCTGCTGCCCCTGTCCTTGTGGGAAATCACAAGGCAGCCTGCCTGCAGGAGCCCCACCGCCAGCCCAGTCCACTTCAGTTTTGTCTGCCTCGTGTGTGCTGCACCTCATACCAGGTGCTGGGTTGTGGCAGAGGACAGGCCCTGGAGACAGCAGCCTCAGTGTCCTGCACGGGCAGCCCAGGCCAGTCAGCTCATCTTGCTCAACACTGAAGACATAGCCGTTCTTTCCTGGCACCACCACCCTGGGTGTGGCCAGCTCTGCCCTGTGACCCCAGATTCAAAACCAGCTGACAAGAAGGGGATGCTGGCCAAGCCCCACCTCTAATGCCTTTGCCCTGGAGGTGGGAGTCCCTGGCTCTCCAGGCCAAGGGCTCTCCATCGCCCAGCTTATTCCCTCAAACCACAGTGACTAGGGTGACAGGCAGGTGAGAGGACTCCGGGCCCCAGCCCCCCCCACCATCTGCAGCATTAGGGGGCTGGGAGTGTGCTGCTTGGGTCTCCCTGCCCTTGTGTCCCCTGTGCTGCCTTTTCTCTCTCGGATGCTCTGCCCTGCTCCGTTTCTTGCTCTGTCTCACCCTCCGACCCTGGCCCACCCAGGGCGTCCTTGGCCGTGTGGTAGAAGCCCCCAGTGAGCAGGTGTCCGGGGCGAAATTCCCTCCCTGTCCGCCATGTCTCCCGTCCACGTCGTCGCTGGTGGCTTCGCTGCAGGGAGGGATGGCTGAGGGGACAAATGAGTTCTGGCTCCGTCGTGGATGTGGATGTGGGAGAGATGTTACGAGTGACCAGACATTGGTGAGTCTCTCATTCCACAGTGGCCCAGTATGTGCCCCACAGTGGCCCAGTATGTCCCCCACAGGGGCCATGCTTAAATTCTCTAAATCAAGCCAAGGAGAAACTGATTTCTATCAGGGGTGCCGTTGCCAAGCCCGTGACTATTGTGCCTGCCATCTAGGTGCCTGTGGGCAGATTCTGTGCCCTCACAAGAGCCAGGTATTGGCCTTCGCACCACGAACTGAGAGAGGACCCGGCCTGACTGGAGGGGACAGTGCCTGAGGCCCAGGGAAGGGCTCTGACCTGAGGAAGGTGTAGGGTCTGCCCCAGCCCTGTGCAGACTGCCCAGGCTGGGGCCTCTGGCCAACAGTTTTGACATTCTGTTCCATGGCCACCTCCCACAGAGCCCAGGATGCCTGGTGCCCTGTCCCTGTCCCTCCCCTCTAGCCCTAGCAGAGCCTGAGGGCCCATGGCCACATGCTCCTACCATGGGACGGTGGGCAGGGCCCAGGCAGAAGACCGCCACCACGTATGCTGCCAGGAGGCAGCTCTGCCTCCCAGCCTCTCCCCCAAGTCCAGCTCCACACCCCACTGAGGGGACCTGGAGGCAGCCATGCCCTCCACGACTGCACTGGACATCAGTGAGCCTTCCCGGGGCCAGCCAGCAGCCACAAGTGCCCTCCCTACTCAGAGCCCCCATAATCAGGCTGTCCTTAAACCCCCAACAGGGAAGACCCAGGAGTCAGCTCACCCAAGCTCATCCAAGCCCTTCTCTCCTGCCAGGATGCGTCCTGCACAGGGAGGGTACCCACCGCTCCCCTCACAGGGTGACAGTCTCTGCCCCAGTGGCTGATTCTTCCTTTTCTCTAGCATGCATCCTTCCTGACTCATCCCCTGTCCTTTGGTCTGACCTAGCACCCTCTTCAACCCTCCTGGTGAGTAAATCCACCACAATTCGAGCCTTGGTCTCCAGACCAGGTAGTGGCCTGCCAAGTACCCTCTTTTGAGAAATCTGGCGTGTAAGGCCTCTTTGGGCCGCCTCTGCTCTTCCCTGATCCTTCTGGAAGCCTTCAGGCGTAACCTGGCAGTTCTCAGGAACTAAGCCCTGAGGCTCCAGCTCCATGGCCACCAGAGGTTCAGTCTAGGGTGCCAAAGGTCCACACACCCGCCCTTTGACAGTCACAAGCCTCCAGAGTGAAGGGTCCCAGCAGCCCAGGGCAGTGAGACACAATGGCCAGACCAGGAATAGGGCCAAGTTGTGAACTGCTGCCACCCACTCCCTGCCCCCAGTGAGGCGAGTCCTGAACCCTCTTGCCCAGGGGGTCCCGATAGTCCCCACCTCAGCCCAATGAAGGCCCCTGTCAAGGGAGGAGCTGGTCGAGGCAGAGGCAGAAAGGCCTCCCCTGGCCCAGTGCGCCCAGACCACCGGCGTGAACCCACATGCTTTCTCAGCAGAGCCCATCTCTCATCCCCCTCTGTCTGCTCCTACTGCCTCCCGAGCAGCCAGGCCCTTCACCTCCCGGTCTTCTCTGCCTCAGCCCTGCATCCCCTGCCCCTCCTCCTCCCCACCTGGCTGTGGCCCTGGCTGGCCTGCTCCCCTCCCTGTGCCTGGCAGAGGTGGGCTCAGGTCCCAGGCCCCCTGTCCTTAGCAAATCTCCTCTCTTAGGTGCAGCGGTCCCACCCCCAACACCCCCCACCGCCACCCACCCCACATTAACCGTGATTTTGTAAGAGTGACTTGTTGGTTTAATAAATCTCCAGTCATTGTGATAATTTATCGGCTGCCGTAATGCATTTATTAGTCACCCACTGTTAATAAAAAAGTGCCGGCTTCTCCTAGCATGAGTGTGGTGTGTTGTGTCAGTGCCAGGGAGCTTCCTTCCTCCAGGCACCCCCATGCCACATGTCCTGGGGCCGGACTGCACTGGGGGCTGTCTGGCACAGGGGGCGCGCCCTGTGGGGACTGGGGCTGCCTGTCCCGCGCCCAGCCCACCTTTGTGCAGGCCACGCCACTGCTCCGCTGAAGCCTGGGGCCTCCTGGGGACTGAGGGAGAAGGAAGGTGTTGGGCAAGGGTGGGTGCCGTCGGCTGGCTGTGGCCCTTGGCTCCCTTCTCTTTTCTCAGATGTGGCTTCTCTCATTTTGAATGGGTTCCAGCATCCCTGTTCTCCAGGCAAGCTTGTAAGGACAAACCAGGCTCTTGGCTCCTTGGTGATGGGTTCCAGTGGGTGCGGTGGGATGGCAGTCAGGCCTGCGGGGTGCAGAGGGGGTCTCAGTGCCGGCGCCTCCCCTCCCTGTAGCGGCTCCCCTCCCCACCACCCTCCCTGCATCTCTAGGCTTGGCCTGTCTTTCCAGGCTCACTCCGAGGCCCTCCCCTCCTCCCCTGGGAACCGGGTCTGTCTGCAGGGAATGTCCGCTGCCTCCCCACCCCTGCTCTGCGCCACCGGGAACCGGCCTCCTTCATGTGTGTGCGTCGTCTCTCCCCACCTAGACTGTGAGCTCTGAGAGAGCAGGAGCCTGTGCTGGTCGTCCCACGGGCCCTGCAGCCCAGCAGAGGGCCCTGCACACATGTCCAGCTGGTATGGGTGGGAAGAGCGCCCACTCGGCAGCCCTGGGGTGTGGAGGGGCTGAGCCTTAGCCAAGTGGAACTCTGGAGCCTGGACAGCTGGCCTGGATTTTTCCTTCAGACCTAAGCTCATTGGTCTCCAGACCTTCAGCCCAGCCCACGTGCCAAATGGGCAGAGTCCCCACTCTCAGCTCGGGTCACCCTGATGGCCCCTTCTTGTCTCGAGAGATGTGTCCCTACCACGTCCCCCAGCATCTGTAGACCAAGCTGAAAGAGCAGGGCAGTGCGCAGGGACCTGGCCCTGGCTGTGGG